TCGTGTTGGATCCTTTGGCTCCGCTTTTGAGCTTAAGCCTCGGCCCCGCAAGGTGTCCTTCTGGACAAGTAGATGGCACTTGCAAATCGTTGGAACCAAGCCGGAATTGACAACTGCCATGTATGTCTACTAAGCAAACTGACCTCAAAAAAGGACTATCTGCAACTTCTGCAACTACAAATGTTCTTATCTGCACATGTTGCAGCTACAAACAGGTTTATCCGCAACTTCCCCAACCAAAATTCCTTATCTAGGCCCTCCAGTAGAGAGCTTCGAATAAGGGTACTCTTTTTCTGTAGTCTTTTTAGGGGAATCCTCCCCCAAAAAAAGAAACGGGGGAGAAGGGCACTCCTGCAAAACCTCGTTTTTTTGGGGGACTCCCCACGTGGGGCCGGGCGATTTTTCTGCCAGCGAGTCGAATCTCTGGGCTTCTGGGCGCGGAGGCCGATGGGCCACGCCGAGTCGTCGATGTAGGAGCGGTCGTACCAGGCCCAGCCCTCTCCGGGGCCTCCGCCCTCCTCGTTTGGAGTGGAGGGGGGTGGGTGGGGGGGGGGATGGGTGGGTCCCCTTTTTGTGGAAAAAAACATCTTAGAAGATGGGAATGACCACCCAAGGATTGACCTACCAGCGCATGGAGAGGGTCATTCCCACATTCATCTAGGTCCTCCAGTACAGAGGTTAGAATAAGGGTGCCCGATTCTTTTTTGTAGTCTATTTTAGTGGGGGAACCCTCCCCCAAAAAGGGTAAAAGGCCACTACTGGGAGACCTAGACTAAAACAAGATACACCTGCAGCAAGCATTATGTTCCGCCCTTGGGGTGGGTTTGAGGAGGGGTTTAAGGTGGCTTGAGGTAGGTTTAGGGTGAGTTTGGGGTTGGTTTAAGGTTGGTTTAGGGTTGCTTAGTGGTGGGTTTGGGGTGGGGGTTTAAGGTAGGTTTAGGGTGGGTTCAGAACGGGGCTAAGGTTGGTTTAAGATGATTGTAGGGCTGGTTTAGGGTTGGCTTGGTTTAGCTGAGTTTAGGGTGGGTTTAGGGCGGGGTTTAGGTTGGTTTAACGTGGGTTTAAGGTTGGTTTAGGGCTGGGTTTAGGGGTGAAGTAAGGGTGTCTCGTTGGTTTAGGGTTGCTTTAGGGTTGGTTTGGGGTTGGTTTGGTGTTGGGGTGTGTTTAGGGTGAGGATTTGGGTTTGGGGTGGGTTCGGGGGGGGTGGGGGGGGCTAAGGTTGGTTTAGGATGGTTTTAGGACTGTTTTAGGTTTGGTTAGGGTGGGTTTACACTGGTTTAGGGTTGGTTTAGGTGAGTTTAGGTGGGTTTAGGCTGGGTTTAGGGTGGGTTTGAGGTTAGTTTAAGTGGGTTTAAGGCTGGCTTAGGGCGGGATTAAAATTAGGGTGGATTTAGGGGTTTAGTAAGGGTAGTTTTAAGGCCGGTTGAGGGTTGGTTTAGGGTTGCTTACTGGTGGGTTGGGGTTGCTTTAGGGTTGGTGTGGGTTTAGGGTGTGCATAGGGTGTGCATCGGGGTTCTTGCTTGCTTGCTTGCGTCTGAAATTGCTTGCTTGCAGACAGGGGAAGGGGGCTCGGAAAAAATGCAGGTTCAAGCGGAAAAAACAACGCGAACGAAGTCCCTTCCGTGTTGGATGGTGGGGGCTTAAAATAGGAAACCGGCCCCCTGGGTTTCTGCGGCTTTCCTTTTGGATTCCTTTTAACCCCTGGAAAGATCCGAAAGTTGGAGCCAGACTTCTTCCTGGCAAAAAAAGAAAAGAAAAAACAAACACTTGGCCAAGCACAGCGCCCTTGGCCAAATGACGTGGCAACCCCAGTGATTGTGGCAAGCCTTTGCAGTAAAAGGGCTGCTGTAAAACGAGACAATCCCGTGCCCAAGCGCTGGGCCTGGGGTCAACTCGCGCCTATGGAGTCAGCTCGGTGAGCTCCGCGTTGAGATGCCAAGCACGTGGCCCAACTCCAGGCCAAAAAGCATACTGTGGATGGTTGCGAAATCCAATTTGCACGACTTTGAAACCATTGGAAACCATGGTTCGTTGGTTTTTGACAGGGGGATCAGATCATTCCAGGGATTTCTACTTGGTGCAGGAGTTTGTCCATCCACAGTATGGTTTCTGATCTGGGGGCTAAATATCCGAAAAATGTAAAACAAATACTCATCCCCTTTGGGCGTCCCTTTGGGGAAATGAAGAATCATGGGCTACCCTTGCATCTAACATGGACCCTGACTGGGTCTTGGAAGGTTCCATGTTAGTAGACAGGGGGGTATATGTGTGTTTGTTAAGGGACCTGTTCCTTTTGGTTCCTTTGAAAACCACACGGGTCCACCAGAAAAATACACGCCAGTATCGTCTTTTTTCATTTTTGGACCACCCGCGCATGCCGAAAAACCGGCCCAGTTCGCACGCCTCTCGCCGTGCGAACTTCTCCCAAACGTGGGTCACCTCAAGCGCCAAAGCGGTGGCTTTGGCGATGGGCGGGGCTTTAATAGCTACAAAGACCGCTCGCTTGAGGGCATCCCCTAAATGGCCATGGGTCAAAGTCCCATGCCCCCAGTGAAAATCCCAATCCCCACCAATATAGACTAAAATGGGTGGTGCACCTACCCCCAAAATGGTACCATTGGTTTTGACCCACAGCCAAATTAGATTGAAGACGTTCTCAACTGGCCCAACTGCATCCTTGTGGGGACCATGTCCAAGTTAGTCCAAGTACTCGGTATTTGCGAAGGGTTTCAACGGCTGATGAGGCACTTGGACCCTTTGAAAAGCCGCTCCAATGACCCACACAAAAGGAGGTGGAAAGCACCAGGTATTGTAAACAGCAACACAGGATATCTACCTGACATGACCGGTCGCCTCAAGGGAATCATTGAACAAAAGCATCATCTACAGCAAGCATTCACAACGTCCAGAGCGCGTCACGTACGTTGAGCGATACTGGGGTTGTCCAATGGGTTTGCATGGCTTCTCGGTTTGCGGATCCGGCCTGAGATATTGGCCCCCCATCTTCTACCGCTTTTGCCCCCCAAACCAAACATGTTTGATTCTGCTCGCCACGTTTTGCGAACCTCAAAACTTGGCAATCGCAAAGAAAGGCGTACTCCAAACCTCATATGACTCTCTGCCTCCATGTTTGTTGAATAATACATATCACGCTTCCATGAATGTTAAAAAAAAGCAACTATGTACTTCTAGGAGTGTTCACAGTGTACCTCCCATCGTCGAGACCCAGAAACTGGGGCCGCGGGCCCAGACGGTGGCCAGGTGCTGAAACCGCAAAGCGGCCTCGAGCTGCGCTTGAAAAGGGGAGGATTTCCTTGGCCTCGGACAGAAAACCCGTAACGGGGGGCGTCTTGTTTTCCCCCAAAAAGATGGTTCTTCCTTTGCTTTCCATATAAATCCACCAAAAAGGGGTATCGTCGGAAAAAGAGAAGCACACACATACACTCATATGCTCACATTCTGTCAACCATATTCAGACCGTAGAGATAGCGTTGCTTTGGAGTCCTTTACAAGGGAAGCCCAATTTAATCTCAAAATATGTTATTATAAAATCCGTTCGAAGACCCCGGAATCCCTGAAACGTCAAAAGTGCCGAGTTTTGCTGGGATTCACACTTCCGGGAACCGTCTGGAAGTGAAGACTTTGTTGGGAAGGCTTTCTAGTGGAAAACGTTGGTAGGTGCCGGCAAGGGCTTTGGTGCCCAGAAAGAATCAGCTCAGTCTTACAATAGGAATCAGGAGCCCCATATTGTTTGGACTCCCTTTGGTTTCCCTTGGAGCCAACCTGAGAAGGGCACCCTCGAAAAGAGCAAAGTTCCTTGTGAGTTGAAGCAACGCCTTTAAGGACGTTCCAAGCTCTGTTCAACATTCTGCTCAGCCTTGAAGAGGGGAAGCTGAACGGAAAGCACACTCGTACAAATAGGTTATTATTATTATTACTATTATTATTATTACTATTACTATTACTATTAATTATTATTATTATTAGTAGTAGTATTATTATTACTCTTATTATTATTGCTATTGTTATTATGATTAACATTATTATTATTACTATTATTATTATTAGTATTATTCTTATTATTGTTGTTATTAGTATTGTTATTATTAGTATTATTCTTACTCTTATTATTATTCTTATTGTTATTGTTATTATGATTATTATTAATATTATCATTATTAGTATTGTTATTCTTATTATCATTATTATTATTATATATATATATATATATGTGCACAAGCATTTTGCTTTAGTCAAGGGCGAACAATCTAGCCTAAAAAGGGCAGTCACAATATGTTTGTGTGTCCTGGTTCCGTTCTGACTGTGTCTTGTGTCTGACGTACCGGCCCCTGCCTGGTGACCCAACATCTCCGGACCATCCGCCTGATCGATTCCATCGCGCGAAGGCGAAGCGACCGAGTGCGCAGCTGGGCATTGGGCAAAAGAAAAGATGGCACAATGCCCAATGTCCGGGCAAAGGGGATGATCAAACATAACTCAGTTGTCCAGCGACCCTGGCAACCCTTTTTTGGGAAGACCATTTTTGGTGGGGCTGCCACCAAAAAATGAGGAAAAAGGGTGCCACTGAACAACTGAGATAAACGAGGAAACCGTGGCATCTGCTTTCACCCAAGACTGTTCATGCACACAAAACTACCTTCACACCAGGTGACAGGTGATAAGTGTTCTGTCCCAGATTTATAGGGTTCCACTCATCCTTCATGGTGGAGGATTCTGTCCATCAACAGCAGGACTTAACCCACCATCTGGCCAATTCCAAACCGGAGACTCGGAAAGTTGCTAGGGACCTTCATTGAGGGGCTCCTTTATCCATGGATCAGAAGCACGTCAATCCATGGGGCATCCGCGAGTGGGCCTTGAGGTTCCGTCCCCATGGCCAAGAGGTCCGTGACCGGTGAAAATGATGGCATGCCTCCCACAAAAAGAGGGGTACACAGAAAATATGTGTCTCTAACAAAAAACAACAACAACACAAAACAAAAAAACTACTGTTCTGATTATGTTTCTTATGTTTCATATTAAGACCCTAAACCATATGAACGGATGTTTCAGATGTTCGGAGAGCCCTGCCTCCAGGCATACCAGCGCCAAGATCCGGTACAACGCCGCCACGCCTTCGCAAAAAGCTGGTCGCAAAGGGCGGGTAGGTCACCCCACGCCCTTCGCTCGTGTGGAAGAAACTTCGAATGTCTGAACTTGTGTTTACAAAGCTGGTCCTCAAAAAGTGACAGTCCAACTCCGGCAGTGGAACGGCAAGTTTCACGGCCCACAGTCCAACCCCCTTTTCACCTCAGCCCCTTGGCCCACAACCGAAAAGGTGACTTTCTGGGGGCCAACCCCTTAAGCATCGGACAAACTTCAAGCCTGGCAATCCCCCCATCTGTTTCCAAGCCTCAGCCGATCAACTCGAGGGTGTCCCTTTTACCCAAATTACTGGCGGAGGGGGTGGTCCAAAGCCCCGCGAATTGAAGTCCAGGCTAAATATGCGAATTGTGGTCGTCAGCAAATTTTACAGTTGCAAACAACACGTGTGGCATGTGTTGAGTTTCAGTCGCAAGTAAAATGCAAAATGAAGTTGTCGTGCCAGAGGACCCAAACACCTTGAGTCTTTGGAGCCAAAGCGCCCTGGATCCTTGGGTGGGACTGTCTGGTGGATCGACTTTGTTGCAGCTTCTTGTGGCACTGGCTCGCTCTTGTTGCTGTTTTTGCGGGTGTTTGGCTAGGTCCTCCAGTAGAGAGGTTAGAACAAGGGTCCGCGGCTCGGCTCGGGCCTAGGGAGCAGCTGAAGCCGCGCCGGGGGTTGGGCTCCAGGCCAGTGGCAGCTTGCAAGGCGTCCGCCAGCACGGCTTTGGCCGCCTCACTCAGCTCGGTTTTTCGCTGGTGGCCCAAAATGGCCCAAATGCTCTGGATGGACGAAATCCGTTTCGCACCACTTTGAAATCGTGGGAAACCATGGTTTCCCATGGTTTCAAGTGGTGCAGGATTTGGTCCACCCACAGTAGGTCCAAAGATCGTGTCCGACTCAGTTCATGATTTTGCCTAACATAGTGTTGGAGGCCCAAATCTAGTGTACTCCGTTGCATATTTAGTCAACCCATGATTAAGCATTTTGGGGAGACCCTGGATTCTGCTCCTGTTTTCTTGCATAACTCAAACAGGGTCCCCAAAAGGTGCTTCTCAAAATGGGAAGCTACCCATAAACGTGGCCTCCTAAAAGTTGTAGCAAATGAACGGAAGGAACCCAAAGCGGGGGGAGGGACAAAATGAGCGTCCTCCAAAATGAAGGGTGTTTTGCACAGGTTCCATGAACAGTTTGGGAAATCCGGACCGGGTCTGTCTTACACGCCCTGGACCAGGGATTCGGGGGTCGTTTGGACTCTGAGCAACCCTGCTTGCTCAAGTGTCCCCTGGACAAAAATGCGAGCGGTCAGTGGCACTCACTCTTTGGCCCAAACCTGGGCCAGTCGGCTCTGACCTGCGCAAGGTTAAAATTTAACTCGTTGAAAGGGGAAAGGAAGAACAACCAACAAGCCAAAAGTTGGAACGTGAAGTCTGGCAGTGAATTCAGGTGAGCTCGCTGCCATTTGTGCCGACCGAAATACCCCAAGGAGCCACGGCAGCTACGGCCCTATTGGGGCATTGTGGCACCTAAACCCCCTCAACACTCAAATTTAGCTGGTTGGCTCCTCGGGTCTAATTCAGCTACTCCTCTGTTGGTCATTCACATGGACTCTCTAAAATGGGGGGCCCCCATAACAGAATTTGTGGCTTCTGTCCGAAGCAAACCCGCAAAAAGGTGCCCTGGAAAAGGGATTGGGATCCAAACGCCACCTTGAGCGTTGAGAGGGTAGAGCCTTTAAAACCAACACAAGAAGGGTACCTTCCAAAAAGACACCTAACAGCAAGGCCTAAATAAGGGGTACTTCAAAAGCAAGTTAAGTCATGACTTGAGCCAAAAAGGAACGAAAACAAGCAAGCAACCGGCACATTGTATTCCTTGGATCTTCTCCACACATAGATCCAAGGCTCTGGAAGGCTTCCTTGTCGCGCGTGCTCCATGCCTCGCGAAATGCTCGCTTCCGACTCGCACGAGGGCCAGTTGTTTTTTGGCTTCTGTTGCCAAAGGGCTTTTTGAGGTTCCGCGTCTGTGTTGAGCTTTTTTGAGAGCACCCTTTGTGGGTTGGTATAATGGGAAACCCAAATGAAGCGAACCCCAAGGGCTGCCTGTGACACGTGGGCAGCAAGCAAGCTTAGCCATGGTCGGAGTGGGAAGCAATAGGCTGCAGGCAGGGGCGAAGATAAGAAGACTCCGGCAAAGAGGCGTAAACCTACCAAAAAGCCAAGACTAAGTTTGGCTCAAAATTGGTGAGCTAGGATTACGCAGGTTTTGGTCTTTTGTTCCATTTACCAAAGGGCTATTTTGGTACAGTTTTTTTTGAGCCACAGCCAGTTCTGAAGGAAGATCGCAGCCAATTGTCATCAGAGAGGTTCAACTTCGGGTCGGTAAAGACTCGGAATCAATGCGAATCGGTACCCGCCCCCTCCCCCCCGGGCTCCCAAAGAATCAAAGAAACACAATCTCTTTCTTCCCGGTCCAGACCCCCGCAAGGAGAACCCAATGCTCGCATATGGACGAAATCCTGCTCCAATCTGAACCCATGGGAAACCATTGTTGGCATTCCTCGTCCTTCCAGGCTTTGTTCGGCAATGCGGAACGGAATTCGTCCGTCCACAGAATGTAAAGCGCTGGAAGGCCCAGGCGGCTTCAGTTTCAAGCGGGGGTCCTTGGTCACGGTGGCCCCCTTCCAACAAAAAAGGAACTCAGGGGGCTTCCCCAAAAGGAAGATCTGCCAGAACCATCCGGTCAGCTTCCATAAAAGGGCAATTAATTCATTTCCCACTCAAAGTGGGAAGTCAACGACATGTCCCGGCCAGACACCTTCCATGGACGCGGCCAGGATCTGGCGCCAGAAGAGCCCGCTGCCCGGCCAATGGTCGCCTCTGCTGAAAGAGCTTGGCCAAAGCAAACCCTCTTTCTGCCACCCACAATGCTACCCTGTAGACAGCTACTTTCCTCTTGGAAAGGGGGGTTGTGCACTTCCATGTTAGTTGGTGGGAGGGTAGCAATAGGGTAACGCGGCTGCAACTGTTTACTTTGTGAAAAGGGAAAACCACATAGTGCCGGACCATCAAAAAGCATACCCATGTGTAAGGAGAAGGATTTCAAGAATTGCACGCCCTCGTCTGACACCCTCCCAATCCCCAAACGGCGCACAATGTGGCCCCTCCATGATCCGAGAATATGGATAGAATCAGAAGGGTTCCTTGCTCAAATACTCCCCTCAGGCACAATCAGATGCTGGAAAAATCCAGCTTAGCTCACTTGCGATGGGTCAAACAGAACCGGATCAGCTTGTTCAACAAGCATGTCTTTCTAACCAAATGTAATTGGCCAAGACATCTTCAAAGCCCATCACAAATTCGCCGGTCCAGTTGTTCCTGTCAATCAAGGGCACCAAGTCAGAGCAAACAGGCAAAACTCATGTTGTGTTGAAACAAACCCATTTTAGTTCAACAAGCTGAGTCCAGCAATGATCTTAAGGTCTTAAGGTGGCAAACCAAGGCATGTTGTCAAGTCTCGATTCAAACTGCCCCGATGGTTGTCTGATCTCTGTAGTACAACTCCCATCTCCATGATTCCGCCATTTTACGGGAATGCCTTTGCCATCACAGACTTGATTTTCCACACCCATGCCTGTGGTTCTCGTTGAGTCAAAAAAAATACGTAGACAAGCCCAACGGTCGCCTATTTTTCCTGGCCCGGGCCCTACTAACTACCTCCCAAGAAGAAACATGAAACCTGATCCCAAAGGAACAGCAAGACAATTCTCCTCTAATAGGGGCCCTCTTTAGGTTCAATGCTCGTTTTCAGAGCAACCTTCAATGACAAAGGCGCCGATGCCGACTCACCGATTTATTGTCGCTGTAAAGCTGGAAGCTGCTTGCCAGACATGGCTAGATGGCCAGCCTTGGTCATTTCACCACCTCATGAAAAACATCTTGAAAACAACTCTTTGCCTTCTTCTGAAAGCGAACAGGGTCTGTTTGATTGGACCTCATTTTCCCTCATTCCTGAGAACCAGCCAGGTAGACAAACCGCCAAACCCACCGCCAGCTTTGGTCAAACCGAGCCGCCCGAACCGTGGGGGCACCGCAATGGCTCAAGCGCCGCCGGGGCAGGCAGCACCAAAGGCACCGCCATGGGGGGCTGAGGCTCGGAACCGCTTCTCAGGTTGGCTTAAACCATAGTCACCTTAACAAAAAAAGCAGTATGGGTCTTTTGCGGGTTTGGGTCTTTGGCAAGTCTTTGGAAGCAATTTACCAAGGTGCCGTTTAGGTACAATTTTAAGCCACAGCCATATTGAAGAGCCACATTCATCATTGGACCTGAGGTGGGCTTACTTTCTGAATTCGCCCAGACTTTCCCAAGGTGCATCAAAAAAGCGGGCTCAGTCTGACAGAGAACTTTGGTCGGCTGCTCTGCGGCACCTGCGAAAGCGGCGTTTCGCACATCAATTATTAACTCCCGGGGAATAGCTGTCGCACAAGCCTTCGGGGAAAAAACACAGCGCTCACATTGAACAAGACACCCTTGCCATTCCGCACCCATCTGGATGAGCTTTTGTCCGTCCTCCGTACACGACATTTCGAGGTGCAAAGCTGCAGCTTGCCGTGCCCAAGTGAAACAACGACTGCACAACTTGCTTGGCTTGCTGACCTTGTGGGGTGCCGAATCATGCAAAAGCCAGGCGTGCAACAACTGCCGAACCCAGGGGGGTTGTGTTCCCCGTTTTTTGATGTCGTGAGTGGCAATCCCCAGGCGCTAACTCAAACCTGAGGGCCACTACCCCGGTTGGACATGAGTCTCTTTGTGACATCCAAGCATGCGCTGCACAGGTTCTCGGCACCCGCGTTATGTTGATGATGTCTTAGCGTTGTAATGCCTTACAAGAGAAAACTGCCAAAACTGCAGCGGCTCAAAGAGGCGCGGGCACGTTGTTGGTGCTGGTGTGGCTTGATTGACGGTGCTCCATGAGTGTTGGATGAGCATGTGCTTGGATTGTGTAAGAGCTGGTGTGTAATCTGAGATGATGTGACGTCTCTGAATGCTTTTGCTGTGATCTCGTGCAGATTGGTGCGGGGATGCCCAGGCATGGAACTCTCCATCCCAACTTGGTGGGCCGGGTGAAGGGAAGCCAAAAAGAAGACGCAAGATGACGCAAGCACCAAACGGGCTGCATCTTCCATCTGGGTCCCAAGTTTTTTCGAGAAACCTGGCGACTTCCTTGGCTTCGACCAAGGAAGCCACGCGGAAAGAACATCGTCGCTGCGATCCGCAGGCGAGCGTAGCCCGCTGTGTGCTGCTTCGCGTCGTTCATGGGAAATCACCCGATACGACAGCTGGCGGCTGACTACTTTGTCACTTTTTAGGGGGGCTTCCCTTGGAGTCATGGAAAGCTGCCCAACAAACCCTGGATGGCGTTGCTTTCTGCATGGTTCTTGAGCATCCACCTGCACTGCAAGTGATGCTCACAAGGGGGGTCGGAATTGTTCAAAATGGCGAATCCCTGTGCCTACTTACTACGTAATCTGTAGTGGGACGTCACTTCCAGGGAAACCACTGCCATCTGGAATGAGAATTAAGGATCAATTTGAAGCAACCCAGGATTAGTTGAGGGCATACTTGGGGTGTGAACACGCTAGGTCGATCTCAATCTCAGACTCATGACCCACCCTGGCCAAAGTGTAAGTCCAACACATGATACATGGCGATGATAGCTCGAGTGGCCCCAAGAATGAGTGGATACTGAATCCAGCGGTCTTTGACCCCTCAAAAACAAATGGGTATTTGTCAATGTCAACATAAGGAATCTGTAATTTGGTGAATTCCTGTTGTAAAACGACCTTCAAAGCTGTCCAAAAGACTCTCCATTTTGAGAAACACCGAGACGAAACTTGTCTCCCAGTCTGAAAGCGACATGTTCCAACTAGCTCCCTTGAACCAAGAACTCAGCCCGCTAACGGGCTCCAACACGCAAGCAAATCAAAAGAATGAACCAGCAACCTCCAAAGCGAGGCTCTTGTTCCGTGTTCAAAACCAAGTTGCTGTCCAAAAGCCATCCTTATTGCACATTGGATTAACTGAGGGTGTGGAAGTCAAGGCCATCTGGGCTTTTCGAAAAATTCGGAACCCTGAAAATGGCTGGTCTGGATAGGGTTATTGCCTGTTGACAGCCAAGACGTCCCCAAATTGGGAGCGGCTGGAGGGAAACCCAAAGGTGACAAATAGGATTTCGTCACATAAGCAAAACCACACCGTCGGACTGAAATCCCGAAGGAAACACAAAGATAAGCTGCTAACTTTGAAAAGCCCCAGCAACCAACATCAACCCTGGAACACAAGATTTGATTTGGATTAAAAACACACCCACCCACACACACACATAAAGCAAAAACACACACACACACACGAAGAAAAAAAAGAGGAAGAAACACTGAGCCCGAGAGCTCGCATAGCGGCTCTGGGCACCCCAGCCATTGATCGCCTCTCGGTCCAGATCGCCTAAGCCCAACGCCCCCCCCGCCAGAATGGGGCTCTGCAAGCCGGAGCCCCACAAAAAAACACGATGGTCACACCCAAGTAACCCGAACCATGTGCTCAACTAAGCTAAAACAGGCGGCAAACGGGCGATCTGTGTCCAAGGGTGAAAAGAAGCAGAGGACTCAGAGCGCCCGTGGTGAAAACCACCGAGGAGAATCATGGAGCCCTTTTTGGACATCCCGGGAAAGCAAAGGCGAGCATTTTGAGGGCCTCCTCCAGGTGTTAACCAGGGGTATTGGACATGTGGGACGTATGCATCCCCCGGTTTCCTCGGGTTTTGGGCTATTTGGCGCCCAGCCCCTTTTGCCCTGTGAAAGGGCACCCTGTAGTTGGGAAGGGGAAACGGGCCCTTCGGAGAGCACCAGAGAGGTTTCAATCAGATACCGTGTGCAAAAAAAACAGAACATCCCGCAAGAGCAAGAGACCACTCCGGTTCAGGATGTTTCAGTGTTCACCCTAACTCAAAGCTGCAGTATCTGCGATGATCTGTGTAACTTGCCCAGTTATACACTTTCCTTGCCAATTGACCAGGAACCTGACGGGAGCGAATTCAGCATGACAAACAGTGACTCGCTTCTGACTCAGCCAAAAGCCGTCAAGAAAAATCAAGCTCAACTTGTCCTTTGACTTTACTTTGTCAAGCAGCCCGCTTCACTACTTCACTTTTTGGACGTCTTCTGGTCCTTGTAAGCATTCAAGCCTCCAAAAGTACCTCGATGCTGGGTCCGGACCTCTGAATGACAGAGTAACAGAAGGGGTCCCCATGCCTTTCGGTTCAAGCATATGAGCGACAGGATCCATATGATGTTGGCTCATTCAATTGGCCCCTCTTTGGTGGGAAAATAGTCCTTTCCGAAAGTGGACCACAATGGCAAGAAATCAAGAAACTGGCCTATCTTTTGTCGAGGACACCTAGAAGCACACCGCCCCATTTCAGGGTTCCCCCATTTAGAGGCACACCCAAAAAAGATCAGCCAGATTGCCTCATTGCCAGATGTTGAAGGGAAAAAAACACTTTCCCAAGCAGGACATAGGTTTCTTGCGCTCTGTTCTTCAGGAACAACCCACAAAAGGGGGCGAGGTCTGGATCCTGTTTCAGCCAGATCCCCCGAAAGAACAGCTTCAGTCAAGAGACACCCATGCCTTCCATGCCTCTGAACATGAGCAAGCTGCAATCGGAATTTCAATGCTCTGAGTGAATGACAAAGGTTCGCCCACCTGAAATATGAAACGGGCCTAAAATCGACTTGGCAACCTTTTGGCGCTTCTGAAGCATAACTTCGGCCCAGTGATGCCTACTCACCAACTGACATGGAACCTGACTGGGACCTGACCAATGCCCGTGCCGAGCGGCCTTGCGGGATTTGCACTGCGCCAGCGGCTAATGGCTTGGTGGGGTGTGTGTGTGTGTCTCTTTGGCTGGAATGGGACACATCTTTCCCCGTAGGGCGAAAGGACCAAACTCTGCACAAGTCCTGTGGTTTCAAGGCCTTCCTCCCAAAGCCTCGCGGAGATGCCCCGGAACATGACACATGTCCGTTGTGTGATCCTCAGCGCATTGGCGCAACTTGTCCCCAAAGAATGGCTTCACTTTCAAGAGCTAAGAGAATCCTCTCATAGTTTTGGCGTTTACATCTCAAGGCGACAGGCCAGGGCTTTTGACTTCATGCGCAGCAACTTCCGTGTCACAACCCTTTGTGGGAGGAACGTATGTTCGCCTGGGCCAGATGTGCTGCTTTGCGCAAAAAGCGTGGGCCTTCGCGGCCATGTACTTTGCTTGAGCCAAGTTGACAAAGAATCTGAAGGGCTCCGAGTTTGAAAGAGGCAGCCTTAAATCCAACAGCTCCAGATCCTTTTGTCATTGCGTCTAAAGAGGGGGAAGGGGGAGGTAGCCCAAATACCCAAACAGGGCTTTATAAAGGCCACATGAAACTGAACTTGGGCTCTCTCTCATGCCCCATGATTTTGGGAATATCCCCCACCAGGACAAAGCTTCCTGCAGAAAAGCCCCAAACACAGCAAGAGGTACATCCCTTCAAAGGCGCGGAGCAACCAGGAAGTTGGGGCGTGCTCAAACTGACCACGATCCCCTGGAAGTTGGCGAACTTGGTTTACTCTGAATCTGCCGCTTTTGGGGGTCAAAACCAGAAGAAATCGAGGGATGCAGCAGCCCCTCTTCTGTGCAGGATCCTGGTGTCAGCATCGCTTACGAGAAAAGAATGTGCAATGCCAAGCCCCCACGAAAGACATGAATAATTAACGTAGGATCTCTTCGAGAATGACGAGCTGTACATTCTCCAAGCCGAAAGGGTTTTGGCCCAAAACCCATCCTGCTTGAGTGAGAGTTTGCCAGGAAGCAATGTTTACTAGAGCCTTGATGATTAGAATGGGCTCGGTTGCTCAACCTAATTCAGCGATCATAGGAGCAAACTGTTCAAAGGAAGTTTAGAACTTCCGCATTGCGGACACAAAACGAAAGGTAGCAATTGCGGACACAAAACGAAAGGTAGCTCTGCGCGAAGGCCAGACGAAGAAAAAATGAACGCGAGAACATGCGTGCGAATGTCGGGGGAATAGAAATCGTGAGAAAGGGCAACCCTTCGCGAGTACTGACCCTGTGCACCTGACCGACGACGGGCTATCACTTCGCGTGACAGGCGCAGCGCTTCGGCCATCTGTCCAGATTGCGCGGCAGGCGCAGCACTTTTGCAGCTCAGGCGTAGATTGCGTGAGAGGCCCAGCACTTAACACTCGAACGCACGTTGTGCAAACCGCGTTGGCACAGACGTGCGAAGTCACAACAAATTTCGCGGCAGGCGCAGCACTTTCGCACGGTGAAGTACAAATTGTGTGGCAGAACCAGCACTTCGCAAGGTCAGGTACATGTTTAGTTGCAGAACCAGAACTTGGCAAGGTCAGGTGCATACTTTGTGGCAGGCGCAGCGCTTTTGCAAGGTCAGGTGCAGATTTTACGGCTGGCGCAGCACTCTCGAAGCACTGCAGATAAATAAATGCAAGCAAAGCTTCTCGATAGGTAGGTATACTCAGAGATAGATAACTAGATGTAGATAAATAAATCGATGGATAGATAGATAGAAAAATAAATAGATAGATAGATAGATTAGATTAGATTAGATTTGATTTGATTTGATTTGATTTAGATTAGACAGATAGATAGGTGTATTCATGAAGCTTCCGCCAACCTCCTTGAGAGCAGGCGTTTTGTGCTTAAGAGCGGGGGAGATTTGTTAATTTGTAATACATATCTATTTATATATGAATAGGCAGTCAAATGATTACAACAGGATTACCAGTAGAGCCGGCGAAGCCGGCTGGCCAGTTCCAAATCATCCGACCGCATTCATCTAGTAAGGCCAAAATGATGAGGATGAGGATAATTATGGGATACATTAAAACCAACACTTAGTCATGGTGAGCGAGAAACTACTTGGAATTAATTCCTTGTATGGGCCACAGGCAGGCCGTGGATGTTTAACCCTCTAATCATTGTCCACCCAATGGACAAACAATCAACGATGGAACATACCCAAAGCAAACAGGGAATGTTTAACAGCTGCCAATAAGGCATACGCAAGGGTTGGATTTGGACCATCCCCGATAAACCTGTCGGGGGATCCAAAAGGTCTCAGATGTGCCCCAATCTTGGAATGGTCTGGCCAAAAAGCCTTCAGGCAAAGGGAAACTCCACCAAATGGCTGGTAAATGGGCCCACTCGCTCAAAAAACCATTAGCCAGCCAGAGGAGAATTGTGTGCAGATGGAAACGAAAAGGCCTTGGCCCCGGGCCTTTTGGTTGTCCCAAAACAAAGACACGGGCGCCGAGAAGACGTCGCGACGTTCATTTCTTGCCGGCGACTTGCCAGGCATTCTCGCCACACGGGCTCGCGTCTCGCCGCCCGCATTGAGTGGTGAGACCGCAGAAGAGGCAGAGGCACCCCGCGCATGCCGGTAGATTTGTTGATTGAGAGAACGATCAAGGGCGAATAAATGCATGGGTATGGATGGAATGGAAGGTGGAAGACCTGAAATGTCGGCCCACCCCGGGGAAAGGTGCCTAGATTCATGAGACTCTGGGCGCCTTTCTGGGCGGTAGCTGGGTGGCAGGGATAGGGGGGTAGGGGTGCCAAAGGAGCCGCGCCAAAGCATCAACATGGATCTGTACTAAGCGGCTGAAAATGGCCCATTGTCTCTTGAACTTCCCCTAAGAGCAACACGGGCCGGGGGGATGGCGCCTTCCCAGTCTCGAAGCTTCCCTGTTCGCCGGAAGCGTCCGAAATCAAAGTCATCAAGCAAGTTGTCCACTGAGTGATGCCATGTTCGCGCGTGGGCCCTTTGCTTGGGGACCAAGTAAAACCAAACAAAATCGCAAGAACACATGTGCAGGTCGGAACTCGCTGAACATCAAAACACCAAGGGCTTGGCTCCTCTAAAATCGTCCAGCTCCCAAACCCTGGCACCACCCCCGAAACCCCCTTCCGGACCAGGAAAGTCACGAGAGCGCCTTGAATTCAGCCGTTCAGCGTGAGCCCGTCCCAAAGGATGCTCTCGTAGAAGCCGCTGTCGCCCTTCTTGGTAAGCCGGGCAGCCTGGACGTCTTGGACGCAGTGAGCCAACTAAAGCAGCCCTCCTGTTTCTTGAAAGGGAACCAAGTTTGGTCTCCTGGATTGCTGATTTGACCAAGCCTGGTTTCAAAATTGGTCTAAGAAACCAACCCGGCAATTTGTCAAGATCTCATGATGGAACACGACGCTATCGTTCGCGGCACACACAGAGTTGTTTCAACAAATTGAAGGTTAAAACCAAGAGTCTGGTTGAATTGCCCAACCCAGGCTTGCACACACCTGTCCTTCTATTCTCCGAACCCAGGATTGTAATACACTCGGTTGTCCCTTCTAAGGATTCATTCCGCATTCCCGTGGGTTTGGAAGACGTGCTTGTCCCTCAAGAGCATGGGGAAGGTATACCTATCTTGCTACAACCCTGGGAAGGAGTACGACTCGCCATTGTCAGCCAGCTTCCGGGTTCGACCTTACACCCTTTGATTCAACCACGGGAAGCAACTCTGGACTAATTATTTGAATTCCAGATATTGTTTTCAGCCAGTTCTCCTCAGTCCCCGTCTTTTTTCTCAGGTCTCCCCCCCCCCCCCCACCGGTGTGTGGTGGGAAGGGTAGCAAACCACCTTCATCTTTGGCTTGCCTCTGACCACAGAGGGCAACACACATCAGCGCTTCAAGGAACAACCTCCCCAACCAAGAACCAGTTAAGCCATCCTGCGCCAACAAGTATGTCAACCCTTCCGAAGAGTCATGCTATGCTTTTGATCCAGTCCAAGCCACTGGGCGAATCAACAAAAGTCACCACGCGTAAACGAGGAGCCACCATCGCGCAAGAAGTCGCAAACCTCTGCGTAAGGTCGCCAGAACTGGCCCGGACCAAATTCTGTGTGTCGCAAACAAGGATATGGGAACCCGTGTGGGCGCCTTGGTTGTTGTGGGAAAAGTTCTTGAGTGCGCCCCCCCTTCAACCACGGACCCAAAACAGAGGATGTATACATGAATCTGCCGCTACCATCAGCCAAACTGGGCTTGCGCTGGGTCCATCCCAAAACAAACTGAACACACACACACACACAGAACAGCCTAATTGAGTGGGTCCAGGCACCTTTGATCGAAACCAATGAGCCAAATCATCGATGGAATCGATGGATCGATCGCCTTGGCGGTGTTCCAAAGGCACTTCAGAGTCTCCCAATTGGCCTGGCAAATGGCCGGCGAGGGCAAAAACTGATCGGGGCTTTCCAGTGCAGCGATGTCTCGCGACAGTCTCCTCGATTGAACTCGCAGTGAAACCAGAATGCAAACTTTTCCGACACCTTTTAAAGTACTCTTTTTAGCGGCCAAACAGTTTAAACGTTCTGCATTTGGAGGAGTAAGGGTGTACGACCTGTGGATGTCCATGGAGCAGGCTGGGCCCTTCAAAACAAAAATAAAGGCCCATTTGCTTAAGTCCCCTGGAAAAAATCACATATGTCCAGGAGTGATAGATTCCCTTTAAGTCCACAGGGACAAAGTAAACAACATCCTTAACCTAGTTAGCCAAATGGAAGCATGTTGACCTCCTGAAGCACTCTCTCGTCTTGTGCCAGCCCAGGGCGAGAACCCTTTGATCATTCAACTTGCAAGGGGAATAAGTCAAAACAAACAACCCAGAAGCACGGAAAACCAGGACAGTCAACCGTTGAAACGGGTCAACTAATCTCTGGCCTTGATTGCCGGAGTTCCAACTCACTCGCTGGGTTCTGAATGTGGGCGAATGCAACTATCTCCCAATTTGCTCGCCGTTTAATTGCTGGGCTTCAAACGCCTTTCAGTTCCCAAAATGAGATTTTTCATGTGGACCCCAAAATAGATGTCCAAGCGCTTCAAACCCTTCCAAGGCCAAGTGTCGGGATCTCCTTAAGGATGTGGAATGCAGAGAAAATCCTGTTGGGTTCTCGAAAAATGCATGTGTGGAACGCCACAAAATCAATCCTTGACTGTGGGGAGATTTGCTTGTTCTCAAAACAATTGTTCGAACCCCACAGAACATACCTGTGACTGAAACCGTCCCTCCTGGAAGAAGCCTGGCTCGTGGTAGTGAATCTGATGCTTCGCGCACACCTCTCGCACCAGGCGCCTCGCTTCACCTGAGACTTGTTTGCTTGGGAGGGAAACTTGGAGGGGAAAAATTGGGGGCCTGGAAAAGATGAATCCAAAAACACCTGGGGGGGGGGGGGGGGTTGTGTCCCAACAACAAGGAAGAAGGCATGAAGAAAAAGAGGGGGGGGGGAGTGAGCCAAAACAGGAGGTTGGGGTGACAAAATGATTGGTATCCTTCCCAAGCTGCAGAATAGGGGGGACCCAGGGCTCAGAAAACAAAATGGCTCTGAACCCGGGAGATGAGACTTCAAAGAGCGAGGGGAATGGGGAGTGGAAATCGATGCTTTGGCTGAGCCTAATTTGCCGCATAGGATTGGATCGGCTTGCGGCGTTGATCGAGGAAGCCGGAAAACTTGTAGCCAAGGCCAACATGATGGTAGCCTTTTGGGGGGTTGTTTTAAAGGGAAACCATTAAAAGGAAAACCCCCCTATTGTAACACACACCTAAATGGTTGCCAAAGAGCCTCCTAGATTCCGTTGATGGCCTACCCTATCATCCCATTCGTTTGGGCCTCCCAACACTTCACACCCTGATATACTCATATTGTAGTTGGCATGGCTACCTGTGTGTGGTCTACTGTACACGCCGGGAGGCCCACATGTAAGTGTATCTCGTATCCGTTTGTTTGTGGTGGTTCTAGGGAAAACCAAAGGGACACAGGCCCGTGCGGCCCGTGCTTGCCGAGCTCCGAGATCCCATATTCAGAAGAAGAAAAAAAACGCCATGCCTTCGAACCGCACCCCGCCAAAAATTGGCTAACTTCAAATTGGCCCAAATCTTAGTGTCCAAAATCCCCGGAAAGGGAAACATTGGTGCAAAGCCCCAAGACCTCGCGGTCTCGATAGGTCCGGGCAAAGCACCCGCTCGCAGTTGCTTGATCCGCAAAGGGACGGTCTGATCCTTCTCTCACATTGGAACACCAGACGGCCTGAAGATCAGCCTCCAGGCAGCTCCGAGATCTCAAGAGGTTTCGGAACATGGTAGTGACGGAGCCTCTGTGGCCCTCCGCCAATTTTCCAGCTTTGTGGATGCCGGCTATTCACCATGTTCATGGCGTGTCCGGGCGCGCCTCCTGGGATTGTTTTCGACTTGCCCAGTGCTCCAGGAGGAAGCAACAAAGGCTGATCCCCATGGTTTCCACGCGAGGGTTCAAGCTTGATTCCAGCCAAACAACCCGAAAAAAAGAAGGACAAAAAAACAAAAAACAGGTAGCCTTTTACCCGTTGCTCTGGTTGCGTAGCCTGACACAGCTTCAAGTTCCATTGTCTTTCTTTACCAGGGGTGGGTTTGGCCGGCACCAGCGCGACAGTTTTCAAAGCTCGCCCAAGAACCTTCTGCGGGAATCGTGCGGGCGGGCTGTGGGAGCCGTCTTGTGGTTTGTGCGCCTGGTCTTGGGATCGAGCGGCGCTGGGGAAGGTTGGGCTGTGTCTTAAACGCTTTCGGGACACGCGGGGAATAGTTTTGGTACTTGAGTTCAAAGGGCTCCAAAAAGGAAAACGGAGGCTCGCAACCTTAGTGGCTTCGCTTCGCTTCTCGATTCGCCGAGGGGCGCAGGTTGTGCCGAGGGAGCCGAGGGAAAAGGTGGTGCTCGATTTGGAACTGGAGGCCGATGTGGACCCAATCAAACCTCGAGCGAAGGGACCCGTTGCAACATGAGGCAAATCAGACCCGTTTCCTGCATGGGAGACCAATGGGAGATTGTTTAGACCATATTAGGGCTGATTGCAACATGTGTTTTCACCACATCCGGAAAAACAAGGGGACCGATGAGGTTGTGCAAAACAACCACGATTCAATTTTAAAGCTTCAAGGGCCTGGCCCAACCTTGGTCGCGCCAAACACCAAACAGCGACCCGAGGAACAAACATCTGTGATTCATGTGATGGTATGCAGCCAACATGTAGGCAATCCTGCACATTTTGTTTCTTTCCTGGTGGAACAAATCGGGTTCGATCTGGCCCCCAGAAGGATCGTTGCTTTGGTTTAAGTCGATCGTGGATCCCTTTTTGCATAGCCCTAAGGTCGTGAGATGCTTAGCCACCAGTTTTCCAGCAACCCTGTGAAATGTCCAAGCCAGTGTCAAAGGAGATGGATGGAGGAATGTTGCGGAATTGGCTCAAATTGAGCAAACAAAGCTCAAACTGTTTGTTGCCCACTAAAGTGCGTCTCCAGAACAAGTACAAAGTTCGGCTATGTCGAAGGGACTTGCTGGCTTGTTGAGATGTATTCCCAGAAAAAGGCCAGGAACGCGGTAACCTGGACGAAAAATAAACCCCTCCAAAACCAAACATGGAACTGCACAATCTGTCCGAATGAGAACTACCCCCTACCATCCCCTACCAGTATGTTCCTTCGGCTTGCAACACTGGGTGGTAGATGATTTACCGGACCCCCGGATTATGAGGGGGGATCCCTGAACTTCAGGAACGCGGATCCACCCCGTTGGGGTTCCCATTGGGGCCACCCACCAATGGAAGTGTTCCAGCCCGTCAAATGTACGAATTCCATGGGCTCGCTGGTTGCGGTTGAAATTTAGAGCTCGTCCCCCATGTTCTGAACCCCAAATGGACCATTGACAAATCAGGACGTGCTTGATCGAGTCTCACATGAGCAGCGCCCAAATCTGGGCTGCCCTCAGATCCCCCGCTAAAGTTTAACTTTTAGTGGGTTAAATGGAAACTACCACTAGACACTAAAAAGCTTAAAGGCTAAGGGGATGGCTGGGAGCCACCAAGTTTCTGGTTCTAATAACATGGCTACAAAGCTTTATATTTTCGCTGGGCGCCATGTGAGAAAAACTGACTTTGGCTCACAGGCCAAAGCCAGCTGTTGCCAAAAACTCGCAACATGTCAAACCTGGGCCAGACTTCTCTGCAGAAAAAGATACCTATGGAAAGGGAATAAAGGAAACCCGAAACGGAATGCCTTTGGGGGCAAAGTAAGTTGGCTAAGTGTCCACTAAAAAGGAGACTTGGGCAGCTTTCAGCTTTCTGTGACACTGGTGCGGATGGGAATCCACAAGCATGGCAGATTTCGGGTGATTTCCACCCAGCAGTCCAATGTAGGACTTTTGCAGGGCCCTTTTGGTATCAGCTTCATGCAAAACAAAAACCTTCACTTTGCGAAGAAGTCTGTAACGAAAGCCTTCAACGGGAATATGCCTGTTATCCTTTAGCTTTGACGTGGCTGCTTCTTCCCATGGGCCGAAACCGGGATGTTTCAAGTGTCTGGGTCGTTACAAATCACAAACCGGAAAGAAGGACTCCACGAGGAAGAACTCGTCATTGTGGGCGAGCTCGTTCTATCCCCAGGTAAGCTTTTAAGCATTTGCCCCTTAAATGGAAAAGAAGGACACTTGGGCCATGATGATGAACGTCGACATGACGAGAGCCTTAGTCCCAAACCTTCTTTGGCAGGAAGGCAGGCGAGCATCACACCCAAACGAACCCCCAAAACATAGCCGGACATCAAGCCACATCGGTGGTGTGTCGAAGTTCATGGTCGTCTTTAGCTGGGTAATGTACCATTCGTCACTGGCATCGTTGTACGCCTGAGACGCAAACCCAGCGGATCCACACTACTATAGCTTGGAAAATCACCCATTCTTAACTTGTGGCTTTGAAAGAGTGGTTCCCTCGGCTTTTTTGACACACAAGGCATGGCATAGTTCCCTACACCTTCTTTGGCTTACCTAGTATACAAGGAAATAGAATCACAGGGAACATGCCAAGTTCTGGCGAATCGCACATGTGACGCAGTGGATTAGCGAAGCCCTGGTATTTTGTGGCTACAACTGATTTGAGAGGCCAACCTTCCCCCAGCCGGTTGGCATACCGTCGTTCAGTGTTTTAAGACATACTTTGAGGCAAGAAACGCGACTCCAGCTTGGCCGGCAAGTAAGTTTCTCAGACCTTCTCGTTTGAGTGAATCCGCTCGAAAGCGAGCCACAAAAACCCAAACGTAATCCTGCTTCATGTGCCGGCACCTGAAAAGCTAACTCGGTCTTTTTGTTGCCTCCCCAAAAACCAAAGGGTTTTAAACAAAAAAAAATGGCTTGGGTGAAGACCAAAGGGAGCCTCCAAACCCCTTCAAGTTTGAGCTTGAATTTTGGACCCCCTTCCCAAAGCCTCTGGGACCGATTTTCGGTCGGGCTGGGAGAGGTGCACAGCTTGACAGTGGAACCTTTGGGAGACCCGGAGCCAAGCGGACTGGAAAACCTGCTGCGATAGGCAGGGAAATACCCAGTTCGGGTTTTGGGAATGCACCGTTTCGGGTGTCCCTTTAAAACCATAGGGGATGGTTTGGCTCGAAGTCATTCCGTTTCTCATTTGCCTATCGAACCAGCAAGAAACCCCACGGCTTCAACCCAAATCCCCCCATCTCCCCCCCGTGAAAACAGGTTTCACCCGGCAACCCCAGCCCGAAGACCCGAAGATGGGCATGGCACGTGGCCGTGGTACAAGTCCATGGAGAAATGGGAGCAGCAAATCTGCACCTCCGGCGTCGTTCCGAGCGGGGGGTTTGTCCCGAGCGGGGGTTTGTCCCGCCTGCGTTCCGAGCTAGGGGAATTGGCTGCGAAGGGGGGGTTGGTGAGGGGTTCGGGACCCAACTGCCAATTTTCGAGAAACAAAAACTGTCTCTTGTTTTTGTTTGTTTCTTTTGTTTTTCCCCCGATCTTCCGATTGGAATTTCGGTCTGCCTTTCAGAGGCTGTTGAATGACGAAATACGATTGATGTTTCGAGCCTCTCAAACAGGACGGCTCCCAAAAAAGCCAGCATGCCAGACTTTGCCAAGGCCGAGCTTGGCCAAATCATGCTAATGGTGAAGAGAGCTATCGGGGGTGCGAATGATATAGTCTTCTTCGTCTTCTTCTGCTTCTGCTTTGCAGGATCTTAGGGTGGTTCTTCTGCCACCCGAAGGCAAGTTTGGCAAACCCACTCCTTCGCGCTTGTGGGAGGCCAAAGGTTCATTCATCAACTGAGGCAAATCAAAACCAAGGTACTAACGTGGTCTACCCAAAGCCCATGGCAAACGAAAAGGAGGGATATCCGGACCTGTTTCTGGTTGGGACTTTCCCTGATTACTCTTCTACGAGAACCCCGGGTTTTGATTGTGGCTAAAATTGGGTCCCCATTCTCCTGGACCAATTCCCTTAGCCCCTAGGTGAGGTTGCTGGAACCTGCAACCCGCCGAAGCACTGCACGATGGGAAATCCAAGCACTATATACATGCGCACATGCATGTGTTTCGTATTGTGTTGTACTGTTTTGTTTGTGTAGTGCACTGTATCGTATTGCATAACCTGTGTTGTGCTGTACCGTGCTGGATTGTATGTGTGTTTGTTGCGTAATGTATTGCATTGTAATGTACATGTAGTGCAACGAAATGTAATGCAGCCTAGTGTAACGTAATGTAATGTAGCAATGTAATGCAATGTCATCTCATGTAGCGTCAGCTAGTGCAATGTAACGTAATGTCATGTCACGTAATATAATGTCGTGAAACGACATGTCATGCAAGAAAATAGTGTGTAATGCAATGCATTATGTGCTGTTTCCCTTTTATGTATGCATATATTGTAATATTTAGGGGAGTCCTTTTCGGAGGGAACGAACCCCTACCAAGCCAAGGCGCGTGAAGAAGCCCAGACACTGCATGGCTCACCAGCAGCCACCCGAACCTGAGCCGCGCGCGAGGCTTGCATCAGGTGCCATTACGACGATATTTGGGGGTCCACCAACGGGTGGGTCTTTTTTTGGGACCCCCAGAATGGTGCAACGGTTCTCCTTAAGGTTTCCTTAGGTAATTTGGGAAGCGTTCAGCAAAAGGATGCAAAACAGCAAACCGCTAAAATCATCAAAGTTCTGGGTTAGACAGCGTTCTCCCGATATTATCTGCATAAGTCCTCAGCTCAATTCACAAACATGCTATCTGCAGGCGGACAGTAGTCAAGGTAGTGCTTCTCTAGAATTTGCAGCATTAAATACCCAGACACCAATACAGCGAGAATTCACAATATGCTTCCCATATAAACTACCCAAGTGTCGTTGTAACACCGGGTTCCAACTCCAAAAAAAGACGAGCCACCCAAATGGTTCGTGTCCATTGGTCTCCTCTTCAAACTCGCAGTTCTCCTTTCCCTTAGATGACCCTACAAATTCTTGAGGTCAAGAATGGCGAAGGCGTTGTGATTCTCACTTGCTTCTGGGAGGGATGGTGTCTCTGGACAAAAACCACAAGCACCAGTTGGGAGTGGTTTATCAACCAGGGATTCATCCATCCCAACTGGTGCAGGCTTTGGCCATCCAAGCCGGTGTTCGGCCCGTTGTTGTTTCTATCTGGGGGCAGCTGGTCTTGTGTTGAACCGTCTGCTTTTTGGGTTGCCCATATGAAAAAGTCGAAAGTTTGGGTTTGTAAAGAACAGGATCCTTTCCGGTTTCTGTTTTTTTGTCCAAAGGCTTTGCCCAAACAAAATGATCATACGTTTCAAGATGTTATCGACAAATACGGGCTGGCTACGGCCAAATACGGGCAAAATACAGCTAAAATTTGCTTCTAAAAGTCTCAGCGGCTGGAAACCGCACATGGCCACGG